GCAAATGGCGTATTCCTCTGTCTCGCAATACTTCAATTAGGGATAAGGATCCTTTTTTTGGAAACCTAACCACAACATTGTTATCACACCTAAACAGTTAATAACAATTTCTTCCTATCGTCAAACGGCCACTCAGTGTTGGGATTTCTCTGTCTCGTGAATTCCTTCTGTTCTCACAGTGCATTTATTTGAATCAGGGACCAAAGCGGGGGCAACGTCGATTGGTTGCTGGGTCTCTCACGCCCCTTTTAATCTGTAGGCTCCATCTCACTCGCTTTATTGTTTTCCTCGAAGGGCCAGTGTTGTTTGTCCTACACAGTGTCCCATGTCTGCTGTCACCGATTGGACCCCGCGGTGTCCGTTTAGTATGGCCTCTCCCCCGCCGTTCCTGAAAGCTACAGGTTTGATCAGACTCGGATTTGATGGGGTTTTTTGTTTTTTGATTTGTTTGTTTGTTTGTTTGCCAGAACTGCCTGCCTTAGAGGTGGTGGTGCCTGTGTCTGTCAGGAAGCAGTCTCCCTTAGCGGCTTTCTAGTCATGGCCTAGGTCTGCAAATATATTGTCACCTACACCGTTGCAGTTCATTTTGGCTCATACTTTGCAGTGCCGACATGCTCTGCCCTCCGAAAGACATATTGTGAATGGCAGACATTAGCAGCTCAAGGCTTCTATGCATGTACTGTGATAAAAACCACTAAAGCATTTTACTGCATTAAGCAAGTGTTTTAGGCCCTCTGAAAACATACAGAATATAGTTTCTCATTGCTGTGCAACCGGTCACTTGAAGAATGTCGAATTAGTTACTAACCATCACACAAGCGGTTATCAGATTGACATTATGTTGAAAATAATCGGCGGATGGCCTAGACGTGTGAAGACAGCAGGTGTTAGCCGGGTGCTCACTCCCCAGCATCCCAGGAGACAGTGTCCTTCTTCCCTGGTCCCTCTGCCTCCCCTAGGTCCTTACGTGACCCGATGCCTCGGTCACGGGTGGTTGATTTGGGAATTCGCACTTGGGACAAGAGAGGGTGTCAGATCAGTCTGTTTCTAGTGGCTGAAACTGTAAGATGAGAAACTGTGGCTGTGCTGGCCATTTCCCCGTGGACAGAAGAGCCGGGGCTGGGGAGGAGGCCGGTCTGTCGTGATGTGTGTGGAGCTGGGCGGGCCACGGGGGAGATGGCCCCTGCAGTGGAGAGGAGAAG